GGACCTTTAGATCAATGCCCATATGTATGTAATATAGAGCAACAAAACTGAGAACTCCTGCGCAGACTTGTCATCATTTCGTCACTGTAACTCGAACCAGGGCCCATCCTAGCCCCAACTTGTCGGCGCAAACTCAAAACCTGGCTTGCCAATGCTTGCCAGCCGCTCGGAACAAGACCGCCAGCACCAACAAACGTGACCGAGACGCATGGGGAAAAAAACGAGCTGACGCTTTGAACGCGGTTGAACACCCGAATCCATTACCAACAATGCGAACAGCTAACATTAACAATGATATGCTATTGTTTGCGAGCACAAGCACACAGTTATATGTAGATACACTCACACACACACACAGACACACGAGCGGGCGCGTAACCAGTGCTACTACCAAAAGCAATTATGACAAATAATGCAACTTCATATCACGATGGCTGCTATGAGTTAGACGAGCAGCTGATGCGGTCAGGGATGCGGTTGTACACCTGCCCACGGAATATGCTTGCAGTGATCTGCATCCACTGCAATTGCTGTTCTGGATATGGAGATCGCTATGCCACCAGACCACCACAACAAAAGCGACTAAACCGCATGATGGTGAGCATGAAATGGAGGCTTGATGAGGCTTGATTCCAATGCGTTTCCGGCCTCCTGACACCAACCTCACCCATTACCCACTACACAGCCGTTCAACAGAGCCTCTGTGGAACAATATCGAGCACCTCGAAATCCCTAAGCCCAATCCTGGCCACGGACAATCGCCTCAATTCCAGGAGATATGCTCGACTCTAGCGGACAGTTGTGCTCGACATCTAACTTGGGACCTGGTTTGTCAACGAGCCGGCACTCATGATTCCGGGATTGTGCATGAAGCTGTGCCCACACTAGCGTTTTGACTTCTCCACCTGTCCGTCTCCCATGCATACAAATGAAAGGCCTAGATTCTTAGATGCCCCCTTCAATCTCTCGAGAGCCTCTTGGGCAAGCTCCTTGGCCCTGTCCGCATTGGCATCCAGCACGCTCCTCAGTCGGCAGCGGGAGGCAGAGCGTTGGGGTCTGTGGTGCGGGCTTGTGGTTTCAGTGGTCCGGAGGTTGAGTCCCTGCCAGCCTGGGATCTTACAGGGTGACTGCAAAGTTGGAAACAGTGACCTGGCCTGTGGTCTGCATCTTCCCGCGGCTTCAGTACATACTTCCTAATGGTCCTAATGCCCACGAAACGTCGCGAACACACGGATCTTGAAGTTTTTTGAACCCCCGTTGTGAGCCTCAAAGGCTCAAGACCGAATCAACTTGTAATACCCACATCATCCCACACCCCACCTGGCATGTCGGTCAATCCGGAAGCGAGTCGCTTGAGGCGCTCAGCCCTTGTAGCCTTCGCTTCCTTGTCTTCCACGAAAGCCTCCGAGCAAAGGCGGCTGCAAAGCTCCTTCCTATCAGCCGCGGGTCTTTCCAGACCGAGCCCCCTACATATCTGGTATGTAACAAGGTATGTATGGCGTATATTATACGGAACATGTGTATCTATGAGTATGCACGGGTCTATAATGTCTATATTTTCGCGAGCGCTTATACACATGGTACATACGGCATTTACGGCATGTAACATATGGTGTGTGAAAATCCGTGCCTCAATCGTCTTCATGACGACCGGGGCACAGACACCTGCCGCTTCTTCGACCTGATCCAGGAGGGGGGGCCTTTTGTTGCGACTTGGACTTCGGGAGCACAGAAAAGGGGCCTCAAAAAAATATGTACTTTAGAATAGGGGCTTCGAGAAGGGTTCTGTTGAGGGATTAGTTTGGGGCTTAGTGGTGCCTCGGCAGCGTCGGGATAGAAGCCCAGAATCGAAGCCACCAGGCCGGGGATCATGAAAATCTCCAGCGGGGCAAAGGTGAGGCTCCTGAGAGGCAGATGGCATCGTCAGCCGCGAAGTTGCCGATGTCTCTGGAAAAGGATGCCAAGACTTGAGGTCCAGACACTTCCAACAGGTTCTGGGTGGGCTCCAGCTTGTTTTCCAGTCGGAGATCCAGAGCTTGCTGCATGATCTCGTCGCTCGAGCCCACCTGCGCAAGCCAGGGAGATTCAACTGCAAACTGCCTTCTTTTCGCAAGCGCGCATCTGTGCTCGATCTTTTCCATCAGTCTGCTGGATTCAATGTGGCTTGACCCAGGCTTAATAATAATAATAATAATTAATAATAATTTAATAATAATAATAATAATAACAATAATAATCCGCCGACCCCGCTTTCGGGGCGGCGCCCGTGATTCCCGAGCTGCTAGTAGAAGTGGCTTGTGGCTTGCTTTCAGTGCTTGGAGGTTCATGGGTAGTTATAAGTAGGGTTATAAGTCCCCTAATATGGGTTATAACTATAGTTACCCTACTTATAACCCCACTTATAACTACCCATGAACCTCCAAGTGGTGCCAGCAGCAGTGGTGGCTT